CAGCCCAGCTGGCCCCCTGCCTCAGCCATGAGGGGCCGGCCCCCGGCTCCCTACCACTAGCCCCAACAGGGACTGGTGGTCACCGGCCCACTGCCACTGGACTCCTGGCCCCAGGCTCTGGGATTCAGAGACGTCCCTGGTCTGTCCGGACCAGAGAGCCCCAGGTCAGGGCTCCCTACCACTAGCCCCAACAGGGACTGGTGGTCACCGGCCCACTGCCACTGGACTCCTGGCCCCAGGCTCTGGGATTCAGAGACGTCCCTGGTCTGTCCGGACCAGAGAGCCCCAGGTCAGGGAGGTACAACCTGGCCTAGGGATGTAAGCTCAGCGGCTCTTAATAGATTTAAAAATCAGAAGGGCAGCGGGGGGAAGCTGGTGTGAGCCAGGACAGCTGATCTCCCGGCTTGTGCCAGGTCCCCCTGCCTGAAGAGCTGGTAGCGTGAGCCAGGAATCCGCTGTCCCGGCTTGTGCACGGTCCCCCTGCTGGCTTCCAGTCCATTTAAAAGGCAGAGCCATAGCGGGGTTAGCTCCTGGGGCCGGGAGCTGGCCCCGCTGCAGCTGCCCCGCGTATCGACTAATCGATGGAAAATCCACCGACTAGTCGATGAGTTGATTAAAGTAAATTGAAGATCCCTGACCTGGACGTGGGCGTTTCTACTGTCACAGCCAGGAGACGGCCTAAGGGACAAAGCCTTCCCCTCCTCTCCCCCGGGGACCACGGACAAGGAACGAGCCCAGCTTGCCGCACGGCAGCACGGCCCAGGGCCGGTTTCGGCAGAGACCGATCGCAGGCAGCGGAGCAGCTGTTAACGAGCCGCGTCGCCCAACACCCGTTTATCTCGCCACGGCCCTCCGCCCCACCAGCGCCCGGGTCCCTTGCCCGGGGGCCCCGCTAGCCTCCGCCCAGGGCCCGCAGACCGGCCTGCCGGCTCCCCCGCTCACTCACCCTTTGTGGACAACCTCAAACTTGAGGCCTTTGGTCTGAAAGACTCTCTTGAGCCCTCGGTGGCCCCGGTTGATGTTCAGCTTGAACTGCTCTCGGAACTCTGCCAAGGGAGCAGCGGCAAAGAACTGTCAGCAGCAGGCCCCCGCGCCAAGGGAGAGCCAGGGCCTGCCTCCCCGGAGCCGGGCTCGGCGGCACGGGATTTCGCCTTGGGATCCTAGGGCAGGCTGAAGTTAGTTATGCCTCAAACCCGCCCCCTCGCTGGAGAAAGGGAAACTGCGGGGAAGGGTCCCACTCCCAAGTTGTCACGGAAGCAGCAGGACTCAAACGCCGGGAGTCCTGGTTCCCAGCCCCCTGCGGCAGCCATGCCAGCACCAACTCCCGGGCCCCTGGGAAGAAGGACTTGGAGGCACCAGCTGGACACCGCACCCTCTCGGGCTCTTAGCCCCGTCTCCCGGCGTTGCCGACTCACGCGAGACGCAGCTGTGACGCCGACAGGAGAGACTGAACTCAGACCCTGCCGTGCCCCGAGGGGGCGTGCACCGCGCAGCTCGGCCACCGCAGTGAAACCTGGTCCCTTTACCACCCACCTAGCACACGACTCCCGGGCTCCCTCCACAACCCCAGCCTGCTGGCTCCCCGCTGTGCTTCACACACAGGGCAGCCTCTGTCCCCAGGCCTGCCCCCCTTCCTCCAAGTCCGGAGTCCCCACCTGGCTCTGCAGGCACACGGCCATGTTCAGCTCATCCAGGGGCCCCGCAATATCCAGGGGCCTCTCTGCAGAATCGGCCCTGCCCTGTGCCGTCCACTTCCACGCGGGGTGCTCGTCCCCTGGGCTCATGCCACACGAGGGCACCGACTCACAGAGGGTCAGGCTGGAAGAGACCTCGGGAGCCCCCCTAGCCCAGCCCGAGTCTCTGGGAAGGAAAGGCTAACCCAAGGGACCCCTTCTCCCCCCCCACACAACCCCAGACCACAGCCTACCGGGGGAGTCTGTATTTTTGATCACACTGGTCTTGTCTTTCTGGGCTTCCTCCTACAACACAAGGCACAAGCGAGGGTGAGAGACGAGCTTCCCAGCCGCAGCCCGGGAACGTCTCTGGGCAGGGTCCAGCGCTCACCGTGCTGGGGTGGGGAAACTCGAAGCGCACGAAGGCGTCCAGGTCGTTGGGAGCCACGCCTGCAAAGACAAAACCCGCCCGGGTTCATCGCTGAACGGAGAAGCCCGAGACACCACCCATGAGATGAACCCCAGGGGGCGGGCGCTGGGGGACTGCTTGCTCCCGGCGATCCCAGCAACGTCCCTGGGGAGAGAGCGTTTGAACTGAAGGGCAGAGCGATCTGTACCGGAGAGGGAGGGGAGAGCGGAACGGTTGTTCAGGACAGGCGGTTCTGGCCAAGATGGAAGACGGGTCCTTTTTTTGGGGGGGGAAGGAGGGGGAGGGGACGACTGCATGAAAAATGTTACAACTGGGCTGTGATGGAAAAGCGGGTGTTCGATTAACTGACGTTTTTCGAGAGAAGTGTCCGATCTCCACAGGAAGTGCTCACTCTTCTGCATAGCCCCAAACCAAAGTATTTCTACTGGGACAGTCTGCCACACTGCATCATGGGAGCTGTAGTTCAGCTGCCTCCTATCCCCGATCTCCTCTACTAGCTGAGCTCCCTGGCTGGACTCCATTTTCCAAGATGCACCATAGCCCCGGACTCCCATAGGCAGACAGTGGTACACTGTGGCAGATACAGGTGAATCGGGGAGCCTACCTGGTCTGTAAAACGGGGGCACGAGACACCCTAACTACAACTCCCATAAGGCACTGCAGCAGCATTTCCTAAGAGAAATGTTGCGTGTCTCAAATTTTCCCGTAAAAAATAATTTTCTGTTGGGGGGAAAAACATTTCCAGGCAGGTGAAACGCCGCCCCCTGCGAGGGTCTGACACCCATCGTTGTGTGGCCGTCCCAGAGCTAAGCGGCCTGTCGCTGCCCCAGCCAGCGGCTCCCGTCTGTCCCTGCGTTAGCGCGCGACTGGCTCACAGCAGCTGTTTCTGGCTACTTCGCAGAGCAGCACCTGGACCCCTCCCTCCCCCCACTTTGCTCGGCCGAGTCGACCGCCGTGTTACCTGGCGGGGCTGGGAGGTTGATCCCCTTCACGATCGTGAGAACCATGTCGTTGCTGTTCAGCTCGGGGAAGATCCTGCAAGAATAAGGCAGAAGGAAGGTTAAACAGCCAGGAATTCCCACCCCCTCCAGCCAGCCCAGCAGTGACCTGGGGCCAGCGCCCCTTGCAGGGCCACACTTCCAGCCCCTGCATGCGGCACAGCTGGGCCTCAGTTCTACCAGTAAAATCTCTCTCTGCCAGGACCACCTTCCGGTACAAATGAGACACGGCTCTTGCCCCGCCTTCCACCCAGGACTGCAGTGCATCTGAAAAAGGGTGCTACCCCATTTTGCTAATGGGGAAACTGAGGCACGGAGCAGCCCAGATCTCAGTTTTAGCCAACAGTGTGTAACTGAGGCGACTAGGGCTAGCCAGGGGGGTGAAACATACAACAGGCCTAGTCGCCCCACCCGCTGGGAGCCCCCATCTCTGCCTGACTCGCACGCCCTAGCCTGAAAGAACTCAACCCCCCTACGCAGTTCTGGAGACTAGAGGCGGCGGGGCAGACCTGCTGGGAGGCAGAGGGCACCGTGTACAGCCCGGTGGAGAGAAGGGCTCCCGGAAAGCGAGGCCCGTGGGCCAGGTAGAGCAGCTTGGGAGAGGCCTGTAATGGCTGGGATGGAAGGAGCAGGAAGCCGCTGGCCGCGCATTCACCTACTTGACCACACTGAAGGTCCTCTGCTCGTAGTGGTACTTGGGCAGCGGGAAGCCCTTGGCGTGGGCTTGCTTTAAGATTTCCATGTTACTCTTGCAGTCCTCGGCCATCTTCTCAAACCTGGCGGGAGAGGAGCAGAGACGAGC